CTGTGAGCCAATCATCAGCTGGCAGTCTGAAAGGGCGGGGAAACAGCTCAATGAGCATCTCCAATTAGCATCATCACAGAGGAGCCAATCAGCTAGATGTTGCTGGGGCCGCTGTGAACCAATCATCCGCCGGCAGCTGGAAGTTTGCTGGCAGCTGGAAGTTTGCTGGGGCCCCTTCGGCTGTGGCTCTCAACACCAGCCCTCTGTAGCCTGTGCCCCACCTCCCTGACTGTCTATAGCCAGAGTCACCATGATGAGCTTCAACATCTTAGCACTAAACGCTCAGTTTCTTTTACTAAGTCTTATACGTCCGTTTCCAAATTGATATAAAGGCAAATCCCTCCATTCAGTTCTAGGCACAGAAGCCAAAAGGCCTCTCTTAACAATTAAAAACACCTGCCCTTGATCTCTTAGGAGCAACCAACTGAGGGGACTGGGATAGCTCCTACAGTGGGCTTAAGATGTCCTGTGGACCATGGCTGATCCTCAACTGTGAAAGGGTCTCAACTGTATGCACTCACCAGTCTTGACTGACTTTGGTGTCAATCTTTCATGAACTTGGTTGCGACRGATTGAAAATAATACTTGGCGTGGTCAGCTCAGCACAGCCCAGAGTGGGATCTTTATTCAGACGCCTCGGCATTAGTCTTTTGACATTGTTTACTGGTAAGGTATTTGTAGACAACTAAGACCTGTGGCTTTCCAACCTAACTTCAGAACTGTAAATGTATCCCAATTACATTTAATCTGGTTAACTTGGCTCCAAGAGGTGTTTAGATTGCTCTGAATTCTGATTCTCTTATCTAATACCCTAGTTCTACCTGTTAGCTTGTGACATCTACATTTAAAAAGCATGTTTTAATTTTGCTCAAAGAATATTATAAAGTCAAAAAGATAAGTTACAAACATTTTTACCAGGTGGTTGTGTTTTATTTAAAATTATTTATATCTAAAAAGATTATGGAAGGCTATATATACATCAAAATGTTAACAGTTCTTCTTTATGAATGATTGAATAATTTATAAATTTTCTGGGCTTTTGCTTATATATTTTCATGATTTTAAGTGCATGTATGATTACATGACAAAACACCAAACAAACAATTTTTGTTGTTTGAAAACATCACATTGAACTATACATACGATGAATGAATTTCAAGGTATGCAAATTAT